ATGTGGCAAACCACATTTAAAAAGGGATGGAGCGTGCTGCATTCAGAAACAACCATGGGGTCTCGAGTCAAAGATGGGAGAGGCTGTAGGCACAGATGTACATGAGACATGCGCGGTTCTACAGGCTGGAGCGGAAATGACTTTGGGGTTGGAGAGCCGCTGTATGATCTGAGTCGATGACTGGAATCGGTGGCGCTGACTGGGGACCTCGTTACAAAGGCAACAGGAGCTCTAGAAGGGAGCGAAGGTAGCGGGAATGGGATGTGAGGAGAGGAGAGCATAGAACAGCAAGGTGCTTCAAAACGGCAAATCCAGAGGGGGGTGAGGCGTCATTGAAGTTTGGAAGGTCTCCATCTACCTCAAGGGCTGTGCCAGGTGCCAAGAAAGAACCTGGGGAGCCTAAATCCGGGGGGCGGCTTTTGATAGGATTCTTTTTCCTCCTCTCCTGTCTTGGGGGGTGGGCAGAAAGGCAGACAGTCCTTGGAGTGCCCCGTTTGGACAGACAGTGGGTTTACTCCATTGTCTTGAAAAAGCTATGTATAAAAACCTTAAAAAGTAGGAGTATTTGGACAATGGGAATGCGAAGAAGAGAAAAGAGCACAGCTAAGTCACAGCCCATAGATGTCAGTAGAATCAAAAGGATCTGGCTAACAGGAAGCTGATTTCTGAGCTGCTTCCAGAAGCAAGAATAGGACTTTATTGATTGCTTCTCTTCTTTGTCTGCAGCCAAGCTGCATAAGCCCATTCAAGAAAGGAATCTCACCCTTTGGATTTCCATATCAAAGACGGACTGGGGTTCTCCGCTGGCCTTGGTGGAAATTTGACAGCCAACGTCCCACCTCAGATCAATGTGTTCTGCCAGTCATTACCACAACGGAGACTTCCTGACTTATCTGCCTTGAGAGTTTTATTCTTTTCAAATGATGTGCCAGGGAAATCTTAGGGGGAAGAAACCCACAGCCTTTGGGCTCTGGAGGTGAGATGAGACCGTATTACTAGCCCAGCATACCTCCCTCCATGTTTTCTCTTGGCATCAGAACTAGGTGGGGTCTACAATGAAAAACTCTGAAAACAAGATATGTGGACATTTTGAGCTGTAACCATTGTTGCCAGCTCTTCAAGTGTTTTTGTTTTGTTGTTTTTTCGTAACCAACGAAGGCTTGAATTGGGGATAAGTTATTCTCTGGATGCAGGCCTCCCTTCCTTCCTTCTACCCATCCATCCAAGCATCCTTGCATCCACCCATTCGTCCTTCCTTCTTTCCCACTCTCTCCCCTCCTCTTTCCATTTCTTTTTTTCTTTCCTTCCATTTCTCTCTTCTTCTCTTCTGCATGAGAAACAGGCTTGGGAACACTAAAATATCATCTAAATATCACCAGGGTATTCCAGTTGCCATTAGATGTCTTAGTCACAATGGGCTTTAACTAGGAAGCAAATGGAGAACCTCAGTTCCCATAGTATGACCAGTGCCACTCAAATACACCTTCACATACTGTTTTTAAGGCTCAGATTTTCACTATAGACATAACTTTTAGACATTTAAGTAAGAGAAGACGCTAACCTTTCAAGGAAGGTTTGGCTGTGTATTGGACGGTAAAGAGGCTTCTAAGTCATTCAGTGATTAAGCCATGCGTGTCTGTGCATGGTTATATAACCATTCACACCCTCTTAAAATTGTTTCCTCCTTTGGTTGCCATACTTTTATACCAGTGTTTCCCAAACTCTATCTCGGAACACTCATTCCATTGAAAAGTCAATGGGTTTCACTCTGAATAAGTGTTCTGTTTCTCAGTTTTGGAAGTGCTGCAACATACTCTAGAACCCCAGTGGTAATGGGGGACTGTGTTTGCGCTCTCCCCTGCAAAAAAAAAGAAAAAAAAATAGAACCCCAGACAAATCTCTGAATCTAAGGCTCTATAAAGTCCTGAAGTCAATAAATCTCTTGATTAGGTTCACCCTTGGGTTTCCCTCATGTAGTTGACCAGAGAAAATTATTTTGGATATCATTCATTAATGGTTGTGGATTCAGAGACAGCTGGTCTACCCGTGTGTTTCTTTTCTCTGATCAGGCCTCCTTTGGCATCTTGGAGTCTTCTTTCTTCTTTTGCTACTGGGTCATAGACTTTCCTCAATGCTCAGCTTTTGCTTCTGGGTCTTTCTTCCTATGCATTGTCTTAAGGTTTTCATCCACTTTTATGGATTTGTACAGAAAGTAACCTCAACTCTATGGAGGGTTGTGGTCTTTCTCCTGTTTCTATTTTTATCCCTACTTGTCTTTCTCAGAAATCTATTTGGAAGTCTGTCCCCCCCTACCCCCACTGAATTCATTCCCCTCAACTGAATTGATTGCATCTTTTTCTACAATTCAGCTTTCACTTCCAGTTTCTTTATGTGTTAATGACACTGACATTCTCCCTCAACCAAGGGAGTTCTTGAAGTCGCATTTAACACCCCACCCCTCCCCCCCGTGGAAAAATAATTGCTGACATTTTCATAAATATCTTGAGAACTCTTGCTTCTACAGAGAAACATTTAATATTAAAAGGGTGATACAAATATGAAGCATTCAATCTGTGGATTTCAATGACTTAGAACAAATGTTTGGTGTCAGAAAATGTTAAGTCTAATTGGAATGATATTTCTTAGAGAACTCTCCTGGGATTCTCCCCTCCTCCCCAATTTAGAGCCAAACAAGCAAAGGGGAAAAAAAATGAACCAGAGAGTTAAAAGAGCAAGAGATACCGTCTCCCAAACTGGAAAGAGGTGGAAGGTTGGTGAGGGGTACACACTGGAGAATTCTGGGAACTCATCAAATTGGGAATGTATCCAGTTGTGTGTGTTGCCCACGCATGAAATGCTCTACCACCTGCAGGGAGTCCTGGTGTCTGTGGCTCAGTGTTTTATCGTGGCTGTGAAATCACCATAGAAATGATGGATGGAAATTAAGATGCACATGCTAGTGCTTTCCGCAAGGCTTGACTTCAAACTGAACACGTTTCTCTCTTCTTCACTGTTGAAGCACCCCCCTCACTTGTTTTTCTGTAGATTCCTTTGTTCCAGGAACTCGGTATCGATATTGACATCTCGATGACCTCAATGTATACTTAGTAACGAGATTCTGATGGCAGGTGGCAGCGCTGGTCATGAGACCACCTTGAAGACATGCCACACGGCTAGCAGCATGTTCCAGATTCCCATGGAAACCGCCCAGATCCTGTATTTTCCTATAAAACCCCTTAGCCTTTTACCCTGGGTATTAGCCTGCTGCAGCCCTCCTGTGCCTGGCAAAGTGGTGAACTACCTTCTTCACACCCAAACTCTGTCTTCAGGTTACATATTTCGGCTCCAGAGTACAGAGGTCGGTTTTCAACAACAGACAGCCACCGTTTAGATGCTTAGAAATGAGGTTCATCATATTTGAACCCTCTTTGTGGTCTGGTGAATGGGGCGGGGCGCTCACAGCATTCCCTCAGTCTTGCTCTTTAAAATAAACCTTGGGTGCCTGGGTGGCTCAGTTGGTTAAGCAGCTGCCTTCGGCTCAGGTCATGATCCCGGAGTCCCGAGATCGAGTCCCACATCGGGCTCCCTGCTCAGTGGGGAGTCTTCTTCTCCCTCTGACCCTCCCCCACTCTTGTGCTCTCTCTCTCTCAAATAAATAAAAAATAAAATCTTAAAAAAAAAATAAAATAAACCCTGACCACAGTAGTTAACAGTGGGCACAGAAATGATTTCTTTGAATTCCATTCCTTAGCTCCTTAATTTTTTTCCTTATGACAAAAGCAGAATATGCTCATCAAAGAAAAATACAAATAGGCCAAGAGAATAAATAAACAATACCTATAATTCCATGCAACCAGGCAGCTTGGTATGTATCTTGCCATTCATAGTTTTGTTTATACATATCCGAGGGCATACACACACTTCTTTACAAAGATCATTCTTTTTTTTAAGATTTTGACTGTTACCGAGAGAGAGAGAAAGCACAAGCAGGGGGAGGCATAGAGGGCGGTCCCTGGCCTCTCGGGTCATGACCTGAGCCGAAGGCAGATGCTTAACAGACTGAGCCACCCAGGTACCTCCAGATGAAATTTTTAAAGTGGATTTTCTAGGGTGAGGGGCATGTACACTTCGAAATTCTAAAACATGTATTGTGAAAAAATTACTCTTTCAAAGATACCAATTACTGTTGCTTCTTTCTGTTTGTATCAATTTTGCATATACAATGGCAAAATGTCATTTTATTGTGATATTTATATTTGTTTCATTAGTAGTAAGGTTGAATACATCATTAGGTCTTCATTGATTATTATAACATTACTAGCTACTAGTTCATGTGAGCTACTAGTTCCACTAGAGTATTTAATTATTGGTTACTCAGTTTTGTTTTTTTTTAAAGATTTTTTTATTTATTTATTTGAGAGAGAATGAGAGAGAGAGAGAGAGAGAGCACATGAGAGGGGGGAGGGTCAGAGGGAGAAGCAGACTCCCTGCGGAGCAGGGAGCCCGGTGCGGGACTCGATCCCGGGACTCCAGGAGCATGACCTGAGCCGAAAGCAGTGGCTTAACCAACTGAGCCACCCAGGCGCCCCTTGGTTACTCAGTTTTAAAGACCCTTATATATCTATGGTTAACATTTCATTGTGGGAGTGTTTGTTTGGCATTTATGCTGTGCTAGACACTATTCTAGGCTTTTCTGCACATTATCTTTGTTAAGCCTTAGGATCTTTTTTTAGTCAAGAAGGCAATGAGGCTGTAAAGCTGCTAAAAGGGTTTATTTGAGATGTTAGGGATTGCAATCCAGCAGACACAGAGGGAATTGAAATTGACAAGCACTCTAAATTGGGGGAGGGGGGTGCAGGCTGATAAAGGCAAAAACCACAAGGTTATAGGAGTTCATAAGTTACATAGTAGGAATTATGATTGGTGCTGGCAGGGTTGAACTGACTACCTAATAGAGATTGGCTGTTTAGCTAACAGATGGTACATTATGTCTATTTCAGTCGAAGTAGAAGATGTGTTCCAAGAGGCGTGGAGGTGTAATTGACAAAAGTCCAAAGTCCATGGTGTTCTGAGAATTGAAACGGGAGATGCGCACAGCCTCCTTCCTCAGTGTCCTCCACACTTTATCGTGGATGGCTCCAAGCAGTGCTTACCTCACTTTGGAAAACTCTTTCACGCCTTCTATAAGGTAGGTACGATGGTTATTTCCTTTGTTTTTTGGTGGAGAAACTGCGGCAGCTTAGGAAGTTCATCCAGAAAGATACGTGGTTTGTACATTTTAGAGCTAAGATGTTGCCAAAGAAATTTGGTTCTAAACCTCCTTGATATTCAGCCTTCAAAGGGAATTAATATTAAAGATATTAACCATTTGAGTGTGTTTTAGTTGCATTTGGATTCTTTTTATCTGCCCACGAAATACTTTTATTTTATGTAATGTAACCAAATCTATTAGTGGTTTCCTATATGTCTTGTGCTTTTGGTATCATAGGCAGGCTTCTTTTTTCCTAATACAATTTGCAATGCCATTTCTTTCATATATGAATATCATAACCCTTTTGTTTCATCCTGTTCTGTTAATCTGCCTATTTCTTTGCTGGTACCTTTTTTTTTTTTTTTTTTTTTTATTTATTTTTATTTTAGACAGAGACTGTGTGAGCAGGGGAGGAGTAGAGGGAGAGGGCGAGAGAGAGAATTAGCACAATGGTGGAAGCTCATCTCCCTCCCTCCTGTAAGAGGTAACTACCATCTGGATTTCTTTTTTTTTTTTTTTTTTTTTTAGTTTAAAATACATTTTAACACTGATAAAGAAATGGTATAAAGAAAACTTTTTGGCCAGTCTTCTTTTCTTTCCATCAGTAAGGTTCTGTCAGTATCTTCAAGCATTTCTAAATATTCCTTGTATTTATTTTTAAGTCCTTAAATTTGTTCGTTATTATTTTGAAGTCAATCTTTTCTTTTCCATTACATTTTCTCATTGGTTCCCATTCCGTTACTTTGGCGGGGGTGGGGGGGTGGCGGTGGGGGACACTGATCTCCTGTGTTCCAGCCATGTTATTGAGTGGGAGCTGCCATGTTTTAATACACCCCACTGTCCAATTGACTGGACAAGAGGTGGGCATCTCCCACCCAGCAAGGATAGCCAGTGTCTTTTCCCCTGTCTTGAAACTTGGGACCTAGAGAGTAAGTCTCTTTTGCTAAAGTCCCACTTCTCCTCTCATGGGAGGTGAGACATGGGAGCTGGGAATGCCGCATTTCAAACCAGGTGGAGGAACCCAAGTTCCAAGGCAAAACATGGAAGTTGGTACACAGATCACAGCAAATGAGAGGTAGAGAGAGACCATCCAGGCTAGGAGACGAGAGGCCTGGGGCTCTTAGCCAGCCTTGACTTTCCCTGACAGCTCATCGGACCAAAGGACCAAAGCTCATCCGGGCTACGAATTATCCTTCCAGTAAATTCTCTTCGGCCTGACTTTGTCAAGACTGATTTCAGTCATTTGCAACCAAAGCAATCCTGAATGATAATACTGGTCACTATGGGAATGTAAAATGCCTATTGATTTTCACATGTTTCTGTTAAAGTGACCAAACCAAAATCATGTGTTATATTCAAAATTTTTCATTTGGGTTTTTTGGATTTCCAAGAACTAATGAATTTTATTTGTGAATGATGATAATGTTCCATAATTCTTATATATATGCATATACACACGTATTTACATATAAACATAGGCATGTACGTAACACAGACACACACATTTCTTTCTGATTGTATTTACAAAGACTTCTGAGTTTACTTTGACTAACAGGACTTCTGCCATCATGCTACTACTAATTTTAATAGAAGGTCTCTAGACTCCCGGAGTTAAGAGTGATATTTGCAGTTGGTTTCAGATAGATATAGTGTATTTAATTAATTGAATATTCTAGCTTTATGCTATAAAAAACCCAGGCTTTTAGAGAAGTTAGCAACGTATTTTCCATCAAGAAAATCTTTTTAACAACTAAAAGTATGATTATATGTTTTAGAAAATCTCCTTTAATCCATTAATATAGTTAATTATGTTCATAGAGTTTTCTAAGGATTGATTCATTTTTGCAATTCTGGAGAAAGACTATAGTGCTTTTCATTGTGTGTGATTTATTTACTGTGTGGCTAGGTTTGCTTTGCTAATATTTCCCTTACCAGTTTCCCTCTGTATTCATAATTAAAAACTTGTCTAAAACTGTTTTAAGGCAATGTTTTCAGATTTTGGTATCTGGATTATGCTAGCTTTCTGTCGGTTACTTGCTCTGGGACAATTAAAATGCCACTTGAGCGATCTGTCTCTTGATGTTAGCTAGAACTCACTGGTGAACTTCTGAGCCCATCATCATTTGAGGATTCCTTAATATAATGAAATTTTTTTTTTTGAAGCTATTTCTGTTTTCACACTTGTGTCAACTTTGGAACTTCAGTTTTTTTTTGTTTTTTTTTTTAACGTTTTCCTTTAAGTAATCTCTACATCCAGTGTGGGGCTTGAACTCACAACCCTGAGATCAAGAGTCACATGCTCTACCATCTCAGCCAGTCAGATCCCCCAAAACTTTAGTTTTTGATGGAAAATATTTATTTCATTGAAATTATCATATTTATTAGTAAATGCATACATAACAACTTACATTTTTTCTGTATCTGTGGTTTCAAGCCCCTTTCTCATGTACAGTTTTATTTTAGATTCTCTTTATTTTCTTTAAAGATTTTAATTTTAAGTAATCTCTACATCTGTCATGGGGCTTGAATTCACAACCTCGAGATCAAGAGTTTCACGCTTCACTGACTGAGCCAGCGAGATGCCCCTTATTTTAGATTCTTAATTTCAGTATCTGTTCATGGTATGGCCAGATCAGTAAATTGGCTCTTGGATTTATTAACCTATCCAGCTTTTATTTCTAATTCATGCATTTAACTTTTATTTTTATTAGTACCTCCGTAGTCTTATTTCTATTTTGTTTCCTTTTATTAATTTCCTCTATTGTATGCCTAAGTCATATATATTCCATCTATCTAGTTTATAATAAAATAATTTAAAGATTTGAGTTTTCCCTGGAATTTGGCTTTGTTTGTGCCCAATGTGTTTTGATGTTTAATATTTACATTGTTATTTTTTAACTGTTACTTCAGTTTCGATTTCCTCTTTAAATTAGGAATTATCACAGTAGTTTAAAATTTTAATGTAGTTGAGTTTTTCATTTAAATTTTTGTTTCTGACATCTAGTTTTATTGTTGTAATGGCCAAGGAATATGGCATGGACTATTTGTTTTAGGGGGGTATTTATTTGCTTATTCTTTGGTCTAAAATATGGTTAATAGTGCTAATTAATAAAAACCTGAATCTATCCATCTCTTCATTTAGACTCACTAATTATATTATTAATGCCTTCTGTATGCTTTTTGGGGGGAGTTCCTTAATCTTAGAAAGACTTAGAAAGTTGAATTAAAATTTTCTACCTTTTTTTGTTGTTGTTAGTTTTTTCAAACATTACAAGCAATTTTAACTTTGTGTATTTTTCAGTCTATCCCATACCACCCCTGGCATCCACAAATATTCGAATCAATTCTGGCTTTTCTGTCAGTTGCAAACTTTTTGAAGCCCTTTGTCAAGTATGATGCACATGTGTCCGCTGGAATTGGCAACAAGTAGTCCATTGGCAATCATGAGGAAGAGAGTTTCTGTGACAGAGCTCAGGTGTGCCCGGTGTTAGTGGGCTGAGTGCTGTGGGCTGTGTGGGCAGCCGCTGCGGGCAACTCTTTCGAAACATTTGTCTCTGAAAAGGATCTGAAGTAAGAATGAGACTGGATGAGGGACAGGTGTTCATGAGAGTTTTTAAATTAAAAAAAAAAAAATTTTTTTTATGAGAGAGAATTAAGCACCTTTAAGCACTGGTGGGGAAAAACCAAGATAGAAGGCAGTTTTGAAATCTCCGGTGAGAAAGGAGATCATGGACAGAATTAAATCATCGAAGAAAATGTCGAAAATGGGATCCAGATCATAAGTGGAGGGAGTAGCTTCATGCAGGAGGAGAGACCTCTCTCCTGTCGAACTATTAGGAAGTGAACATGACCTTGTGGGATACTGGTAAGTTTGCAGAAGGGATGGCGGGAAGGTTTCCAGCTTATTACTTCTGTTTTGCTGAAGTAGGAGGTCAGTTGTCTGTTGAGAACAAGAAGGGGTGTGTAGTGTACATTTTCTATGGTGTGAGTTTGAGATGGTCACAGGAAGTACATTTGATGCACGAAACAGACAAACTCTCACAGAGTGCTAATGCTGAAGACTTGGGAGACATTTCTTGTGGATTTGAGGTCCTACCATATCATGAGGTTATGTGATTTCTTTCACTGTCCTTAAGAGTCTAGAAGTAGGAACAGAAAGTGCTTATCCAGGGTGTGAATTTTGCTGGGCTGATATAACAGAATAACAGCACAAGGGAGTTGGAGATTTTTCTGTGGGTGGCTGAGCGATAGAGGAGGGATACAGAAGGAAGAACCAGGAATGGGCTAAAAGAGTAAGCAGACGTGGAAAAGGTCCAGGAATTCCATTCATAATGAGGTCGAATAACATGTTCTGAGTAATGGGGAAAAAACACACACACAAAGCATTCTACTGAGAGAAAATCGAGAGGTTGGGTTGAGAGAATAATTTTTTTTGGGCGGGAGGAACATGACAATATGGACATGAATGCATCAGAAAGGATAGATGATCAGAGTGTCTTTCATTTTTTTATAGTGATTAAGGATAATGAGGGCTGTTTGAGATTGTGGTATTAAGTTGTCTGCAAAACAGTTGTTCTTGGCTGTCTTGGTGGTGGTGGTTCTCCGTTGTGAGAGGCCTGACTTTATAGTCTTTGAAATAACAAATTTCCAATACTTATCCCAGAAGAGATAGAGAACTCAGAAAGATCTACATAAATTAAAGAAACGTAATTTGGGACAAGAACTTCCCACAAAGAAAACGTCAGTTCTAGTTTGTTTGGTGAATTACGCAAACATTTTAGAAAGAGGTAATACCAATCTCACACAAACTCTCTCAGAAGACAACTAATTCCATGAGGCGTATGCCCACCATGATGAAAAAAACCGGAAAAGTAGTACAAGGAAATGAAGCTGCAGACGAATATCTCTTATAAAAATAGATGAAAAAACTTCTCACA